TTTACCATGATCATAGCAGTCCTTCAAAGGATGTGGAGGGAGAAGGTGGTGGTTATTGCCGTTATCCCACATTGGCCGAGACATCCATGTTCCCTCTCTTGATGTCCCTCAGCATTCAGGAATCGGGGCAGATCCCAGTGACATCGGATCTCCTGTCTCAAGGGCTGGTCCAGCACCTCTGTCTGACGGCCTGGCTGCTGAAATGGAAAGGCTGAAAAAGTCGATTTTCACAGGAGGTTATTGATACGCTTTTGAAATCCCGGAAGGTGTCCACTTCCTCTGTATGTTGTAGCATGTGGATGGTGTTTCCACATGGGCAATAGACCACGGCAATGTCCTTTCTCAAATCTCATCTGAGGCGATCCTGGGGTTCCTCCACACAGGTCTGGACAAAAGGATGAGCCTTAGTTCCCTCAAGGTACAGGTGTCGGCTACATCAGCCTTCACTGGGATCAGGTGGACTCAGAATCAGAGCGTTTCCAAGTCTCTGAAGGCAGTGAGTAAAGTATATCCTCCTAATAGGCTTCTTTATCTGTCTTGGGATGTTCCTCTAGTTTTGGAGGCTCTTTCAGGACTTCCCTTTGAGCCGATACAGTCTATTTCTATGCAATTCTTGTCATACAAGATGGTCTCCTTAGAAGTCTTGGCTTCAGGTAAGGAGGGTGTCGGGGCTCCAAGCCTGTGGTTGTGGTCAACCCTTTCTCATTTTTCATGAGTATAGAGTAGTTCTGAGAACTGTATGCGGTTTCTTGCCGAAGGTTCATGCTAGTGTTCATGTGAATCAGGATATTATCCTTCCCGCTCTCAACTCAGAAGGGATAGAAGGATGTTTGAGCCTAATCCAGGGTCTGAGGACATATGTGGAAGGATGTAAGGACTGGGAAAAGTCCAGAAGGCTGTTTATGATTACGGCAGGAGCCAGGAAGGCATTGGCAGCAGCAAAAACTTCATTAAGCAGATGGCTTGTGCTCACCATCATTAACGCCTGTCAAACAGCGGGAGTCTCCCCACCAAAAGGCATCGGGGTTCACTCCACAAGGGCCGTGTCCTCTTCATGGGCAGAAGCAGCTGGAGTTTCGGTGAATCAGCAACATGGGCGTCTAGGTCTACCTTTGTTAGCATTCTCGACTGGACGTCAGGGCTGCAGTGAACGACCACTTCGGTAGAAGTGTTTTGCTCTCTCGACTTGGAGTCGAGTGATACATTTATTTTTCGCATTCAATTATGTTTGTCTATGGATTTTGTTCCCACCCTTACTTCTGCTTGGGTAATCCTCATTTGTCAGCGCTGCCATGGATATGGCCAGGAAAATTTAATCATACTTACCGTAATTTTCTTTTCCTGGTTATACTCCATGGCAGCGCTGGGCTCCCACCCTATGGAGTTTTTAGCTTGTTACTAGACTGGGGAAGTCAGCAGGAGGAGGGGCTTTTATAGAGAGGGTTAGGCCTTGTTTAACCCTTTTGGTTCCTGTCAGCTAGGGGTAATTGGATCTAAACCCATTTGTCAGCGCTGCCATGGAGTATAACCAGGAAAAGAAAATTACGGTAAGTATGATTAAATTTTTCATTCTCTTGGAGTCCATGGTACAGGTCAAAGGGCAGAGACACAAATTGGTAGGGTAGGAGCCATACAGCAAAGCATAGAAAATGCAGATGCGCTGGAAAGTAGGGGGAAATAGGAGGTGTCCTTTATGTCCATTGACGTTAGAAATTCTCCCTAGGATAGGCAACGACAGAACTGGTGGATTTCATACAGAATTTTTGAGCCCGAATAAAGACCTTCAGTGCTTTTAGATCCAAGATGGGGCAGATGCTGGTGTGAAACCGCTGAAACCATTCTGACACATGAGAAGGGCAATGAGAACTTAAATGTTCATAAAACCCGAAAGGGCCCGATTGAGATCTGCCAAATAGTTTTGCGACTGTTTGATTTATGAACTCAATGCAGTTTTATTTTTTTTAGATTAGTAGGAATTCTGTAAGTTATGTAGAAATTTGTGTATTTTTAGCAAAACCTTTGCGCAATTATCACGAGACCTACAAAATCCGTTGCACCACCTTTTTTTTTCCGATCGTTTCTAAGCTTTTAGAAAATGCATGGTTTGGGAAGTCTTTTACAAACTCTGAAAAGTAGTAAATAAAAAAATGGTCAAGTGTGAAGCACATGGCTTGGCAGCAAAAGGGTTAAAGGAGAACTATGGGGTCAGTGTTTTTCCCCATAGTTCTCCTTAGGGTAACGGGAGGACACAAACTAGCGTCCTCCCGTTACCCTAAGCTCAGTATACCGCGAGCTGTAGCTCGCGGTATACTGAGACGCCGCAGCGGATCCCGACCTGGACGTCGGGATCCGCCAAGCTGCCTGAGTGACAGTTGGCTCTGCCCATCTAGAGGCAGAGCCAGCTGTACCCGCCCCCTCCCCCGTCCGTTCCGCCAGTCAGCGCTGGCGGATCGGAGCGGGGAGGGGGGAATCCAGCCGTGACAGGATCGAGAGGTGAGCGAACCCGGTATGTGTCTCATTGTCACAGGTCGGCTAGAACTATGAGGTGAGTGGTAATCACTCATCTCATAGTTCTCCTTTAAGAGACTTTGACCAACCACCCAAGATTTGGCAAAGTAAAGTCATAGCCAGGATGAGGTAAAGAGGAGGACGTGCCAGGGAGAACAGAGCCCTTGAGGGCTTCCTGCCGTTTATCAGCAGGTGCATCCTCGACCGGTATGGTGGTTACTTTGTTAAGGTGGAACACTGCCAGTTTCACAGTGGGGCAGACAACTTTGTAACAAAGTCTTCCTCAAATAGGTACAAGGTTAATAAGCGCTTGGAGGGAGCAAACATCTTGTCAGTGAGTTTCTAGTCTCCATAGAAGAAGACTTGGAACAGTAGCTGCACTGGGAAAGTCTTTACGGTCTTAGGGACTCTTAGGCCTGGTTCACACGTGGGCGTTTTACAGCACGTTCCTACACGCTGTAAAACGCTCAACATGTGAAAACCAATAATTGCCTATGGGCATGGTTCCAACCTGGTCGTTTTACAGTGCGTAGGAACGCGCTGAAAAACGCCCTACGCCCAAAGAAGTACAGGAGCATCTTTGGGGCGTTTTTCCGCGCGTTCCCATTGGTATTACCGAGTGTGGATCAGGGTTAACAAAGCGGTAACCCCAAGCCACACTCGGGAATACAGCGTACAGGCCTTACCTTGTCCGCAATCCCCGCTGTGTCCTCCGGCGGCTGCCGACTTCCATGTTCCGTCCCTTGCGATCGGCCTTGTCGCAAGGGGGCGGAGCCGGCGAGAAGTTTTAAATTGATTTTTTTTTTTTCAATAGAGAAAATAAGGAGAAAAAAAAACCAAACAAAAAAAATCATACCGCCAGTGAAATGCGCGTTTCACTGAACGGAAAGACGTGCTAAAAAACGCGAAAAAAACGAGCTGAAAAAATACGCTCAGGTGTGAACCCAGCCTAAAGAATGCGAGACTGGGAACAGCACTGGTAAATGCATAATCCTCTAGTTTCAGAGTGGCACAGACCACATCAACAAGAGCTGAAACAATCTATTTTAAATTGAGTAGTGGCAGTACAGTGGGGAGCACAGTGATGTCATAAGCTCTTCAGGTAAAGACTAGAATTACTCAGAATCAAACAGCTGCTCAGCAGCTGATGATTCAGAAGCAGACCATGCTACATCTAAATTATATACAGAATTTGTGTGAGAAAGCATGGCCTTTGCAGTCAGAACAAGAAAATAACTGGGTGATTTGGGCCCAAAGTCTTGCATAGGAAACTACCTATGAAACTGAGCATAGGGAACTACCTCGGAAGAGGCTGCCATCAGGCCCAGAATGGTCGGCCGCTACCTCCCTGATCCAAGGAAATGTTGCTGATAGTATTGCACAGCTGTTTGTCAGAATCTTTCCAGTCAGACACATACTCTATATGAATTAATGAGAGTGCACAGCATAAGCGCGGGCACAGCTGGCTGGATTTTAAAAAGCGTCTATCTAATCAGCAATATTATTATACAGGACTTATATAGTGCCAACAGTTTGCGCAGCGCTTTTCCTTCTGGATTGGGGACAGGTAAGTATAAGATGGGGAGGGGGTCAGGAGGGGCTATGATACAAATATAACTGCAGCACAGCCTCACTTTAAAATACATCTTATTGTGTTAAATACATTTCTGTATAAGAAATCGTGTTACCTGAATGGAATGACCATTGCTTGTATGGAAGTGTGAAGACCGGGGATAAATGTCATTTAAATGAGGCGGTACTTTAGGACACAGCCTTTTCTGTTGCAGTTTCACAATTTCCTTATTGTCAAACTTGTCAAAATTTGTCCTCCACACCAACACCTAAAATAAATAAATATAGATAAGAGTTCTATAGGTCAGCCAATGGCTTTATGGATCATTTTGTTTTTGAGAGAGTCAATATTAGTTTGAAAAATATGCAAGTGATAGTAGCACATTTCTGCCTTAAATTAGAACACCTTCAAATATTCTACTTACATTCTGGAGGCTATCAGGGAAAAGGCAAAATGTATCATGCATTCCTGCAACTATACTTAAAAGATTCTCTATAACTCTGATATATCTATAACTCTCTATCAATCTGCTATCAATCTGCTATCAATCTGCTGTAACTAACTATACTAGAACCCTCTCTCTCTATCTCCTACAACACACTACATAGGGCCGCGGTGTCAGCAGCCTTATATCGTGTGCTGCAGGGACTTAGCTGTGAGACATGATTGGGCAGAGTCATCGTGACTTTGCCCAATCATGGCTCTATATTTGTACTGAACCCTGATTGGCACAGTCTTGCACCTGACCTGCGGTCAGGTGCAAGACTGTAGCCAATTACCGTTTCGGACGGCGCAGTGCATTGTGGGATGTTCCGCGGTCGAACAGACCGCGGACATCCCGTAATGTTCGGCGCTCAGCGAACGCTAGAACAGGCTATGTTCGACTCGAACATGTAGCCCATCCCTATATGAGACATTCTTCATAAGGGACCATATAAATAAGCACTTTCTTGTGCGAAACACGTTAAGGTTTTCATATGGATGACTGAATGTTTGTTCCTATTGAGCTGTTAATAAACCTTTAATTGAACAGATTAACAGTGAGGACCCATTTGTTTAGAGATTCGTTCTGTCCTCAGAATAATGTAAACACCCTTTCCTCCCCAACTGACCGTTGGATTAAAAAAAAAAAAAACCTAACAAAAATCTAAATGGCTCTACATGTAGAACTCATCTAAAGCCACGGTCATGTGACACTCCAGGCCAGAGTATCTACTCTTCTATTTACTTCCACAGGGGCCTTCATGTGTCTACGCTACTGCCTGGGTGCCATGGACACTTACTACTGGCTGTCAGGATCCTCCCAGGATACAGAAGAGGAGTGACGTCAATGCAAGAATTGGGGCGGGGGGGAGCTAAACAGGGGACCATCTGCATTACTGGGTTAGCGGTCCTCTGCACCCAGAAATGGCCTGGGCGAGGGAACTAGATTGTGGACTTAGGAGAGTATAACTTGCTTCACCAAATAAGGACAAAAACATTTAGCAAGATTGCTTAGAGAGGGTAAGAGGCGTGGGGGGGCGCATATTTTTCCTGGCACAGGGCTTTAATTTGGCATTGGACAAACCCAGTTGGCATGGCAAGTATGCAAGACTCCTAAAAATGAATGCGTTAGTGTTACTTCCACCTGCCAAAGTGAGCATGGTCCTGCTTGTTTCTAAACATTATCGGCCTATAATTTTACAAACAGCCACTGTTGCTGTGCTTCTACATGTAGGGGGTCTTAAGAGCAATGACTTAGTGCAGAATCTTTTATCTTTTTTTCTTGTGCAGTTTTGCTTTGGTAGTTTGTATATTGTAACACACCTGAGCATCTGTTCCCCCAGAGGCAAACTTTTCTCCTCCTCTAGAGAAAGCCACTGACAAAACAGGCCCCTGCAAAACAAAACATAAATAACCTAGTATGAGATCTTGTAAAAAGTATTGTTATTGTAGCATCATGTTTAGAACTGTAGTAGTACCATATTACATTGTGTTTCCACTTTTACGGACAAATTTGAGAAAATCCTTTTCTTATCTTTAAGATGTATCTTTGGTGACAGTCTTTTCTGTAGATTCCAAGATTGTTTCTATTGAGCAGGTCTTTGGACAGAATGCAGGCTTCTCTTTTGCAATTTTGAAGTAACAGGGAACTCTGGCTGTCCCTTTAGAAAGACTAAGGACTCTCTGAGTTTCCTCTACAATGCTTCCAGATCGTTAACCCTTTGATAAGTAATACATTATCCACATATATTTTACAACTGAGATGTGCCAGCACAGTACAAGCAGGGATAATTAGGTTAAAAATTAGTTGCCCGCCCTGTTGCATTCCAGAGGAAAAAAAGTTTAGTGAAAAAAATGTTTTTAAGGAAAGAGAAAGTAATATATAAGCAGTAGTTTTTAAATCTTTTTTAGGTTATTCTATATGAAATTTGTAACAAATATAAAAAAGGTATTATCACAATTTGGCTGAAATACACTTTAAGAACAACAAAAGCTATGCTGTCCCAAATATACAAAAAAGTTGCTGCAGCAGGTGGGCCCGAAACTTCAGGTCCAAAGATGGGCCGAATAACCTATAAAGTAACCCTTTATGACAGAATCATGGAAACTGCCATTGCTGTAACAATCGGGGGTAAAAGATCACATGCAGTCTAACAGTTACTGCAATGTAAACTGCTTGACCCCAGTGTGTCTCCCATTGTTTGATTGTGCATTGTGAAGTCAGACAGCAATTGCCCCAACACTCCAACTAAGGTATCAAGCTCCAAGCAAGTATATAAAGGGGAAAAATTAAGCATGTTTGTCAGAGCATAAAAAAGGGAAAAAAAACATATGCAATACATGCACATGTCCCCATTGTTTTAGCTATTTAAATATAATGTGCCTCTGCTGCATGGACATTTCAAGGAGTGCTGTCAGCCCTGATTCTCTTTTCTAGACTACAGAACACATCTCCCTTATGCTATGGTGATGAAGGGGGTGTAGTGCAGCAGGTGAAAAATTGGTCCAAACCTAAGCTCTTCTACAATTTTCCCATGAACGGTTACGATTATGCAGCAGAGCATGAAAACAAGCTGATCAATAAAAAACATGATTTTTTTTAACTCGCTGTAAAATCCTTCTTGGAGTTCATTAACCCTTTCCCTGCCAAGGACGTATGTCATACGGAGGAACAAAAGTGTTCCTGGCTGGACGTATGACATACGGACCTGGCATTTACAGTTCTGCTATAGCGACCATGAGCTTATACTAGAACTGTTCCCCGGACTGTCCCCTTCAAATTAATAGCTGTCATCAGTGGCTCACAAGCCGCTTTCCCAAAACAGTCTCATTGAGGGGCTGGCAGTAAAGCAAATGAAGATGATAAACAGCCCACAATACCGAAAAAAACGGGGGACTGTCTGCAGGACCATACATTCAAAGCTTGTATTAACATATACGTGAGCAACCCCCTTGTAAAACTCAGTAAAGGTGTAGAGAAGACCAGGTGGCAGCCTCTGGGAAACAGATGCTTGATGCCAGAAAGCCCAAGAACAGTGTACCTTGACTAGAAAAGGTGAAACTTTATTTTTAAGCCAATTGTTATACAAACCAACCAATCTGCTGGTGCTGCTAAGTTGTTAGAGAGGGAGATTGTCTAAAGGAAGCTGTAGCCGACAGGTAAACAGTTGACTCCAAGGGGGGGTGTGGTTGCGTTGAGGAGGGATGTGGTTGCGTTGAGGAGGGATAGATCAGCTCAGGCGTAGGCAACCTCAGCAATCCAGCAGTTGTGGAGCTACAAATCCCATGAGACATTGCAAGACTGACAAGCCACAGGCATAACTCACAGAGGCATTAAGGGAATTGTACTCTCACTACAGCTGCAGTGCCAAGGTTGCACAAATACCACAGAGCCACCAGAGCACCCACTGCTTCCGCCAGAATAGATCCCAAGATCTGCATACAAACTTTTCAATTTCTGGTTGAGTCTGGAGACCCTGAAACACTTCTGGGTATAGGGACTGATCCCCAGGGTCCAGACACTGATGGCTGAGGTAGTCTACCTACCAATTGTCTACGTCTGGAATAGGGACAGCGAATAAGGCTGTAACATGAAGTTCTTACCTAGATAGAATTTGGTCTGCTTCTCTAGTTCCTCTCTTATGGTGGATGTACACTACTGCTGTGCATTGTCCAACTGAATCCTGGTCAAATGACCCTGCAGTCGAGGAGTTCAGCATTGAAGGAATAGACAGATCACTTGGAGGTCCAGAATATTGATAGGGGGCATGCTTATTCCTGAAGGAATAGACAATGTCCCCTGCAACGTCAATGCATCCCCTCCCCCTGTGATGACAGTTCTTTTAATTGGAGGTTGTCAAGATACCCCACAAATGGGAATGCCCTGTGAGTATAGCCAGTCAAGCACTGGAGGTAGGACCTTGGTGAACACTTGGGGCACAAAAGACAGACCAAAAGGAAGGCCTAAAAACTGACAGTGTTGTATGTACACAGCAAATCTCAGTAAGCGTTAATGTGCTGTAAAGATGGGGTCATGCAAGTACGCATCCTTGAAGCCCATGGAGGCTAGGAAATGTCCCTGATGGATGGAATTTATGGATGACCTATTGGATTTAATGCAAAATTTTTGCACTTAAAAAGGAACACAGCTCCAGTATGGGGCAAATGCACCCTTTGACTTTTTGAACAGTGAAAAGGTTTGAGTAGATACATTAAAGCTTTTCTGCTTGAGGGACCATATCAGTGACTCCTTGAACTAGGAGGTCTGCCAGGGCAGCATGAAGATTTGATAGTCTTTGAGGAGAGGATGGACGATTTGGCAACAGGAAGGAGAGCGGAGGGTGAGATTGAAACTCTAGCATGTAGCCCTCGGATACCAGTTTATTTCCCCAAGTATTGGAGATATTGTCGGTCCAGGTGACCACAAAGCCTAACAGAACACCCCCACCCCCCAGCAAGCTGTCAACCCAATAGTGCAATGCGACTGGTATAACCTCTAGACATTCAAGAACTGAATGGTAAGCAAGGAAGGTTTTGGGTTCTTTGGGCATTTCCTTTTTCTGTACCGCTAAACTATGGCAAATGGATGTTACAGTAATAACAGGTAGCAGGGGAGGCCCTGCTAAGGAGAACAAAGACTTGGAAAGAATTACCAGACACTAGTCAACTCAAACACTGGAAAGTCCTCAACAGAAACAAGCAGAGTATTTCAATTTATTGTATTTTTTATTTTTATTATTGTATTTTTTTAATGCAAAAAAGCACAATCTACATCAGGAACGGTCCACTTCTTACTAAACATCTCCTTTATGGGATATTGCTCAGAAAAGGATAAAATGTGTCATGAGTGGGCCAGTCTCTGTACAAAATGGGTTCCAGTAGGGAATAAACAAGATGCTAGTCTTGGAACCTTTAAGGGAGCCCAGGTGACAGGAGCGGTGTTGGGAAGGTTGCTCCAGGTTTAAAAAGTACACACCACATCAATAAGTACTGATATGGTATCTTTAAGCCTGAGACACAGCAGACAGTTTCCTCAGGCACAAACTCATCCAAACAGGAACAGAGAAATGACTCATCTACAGCTGACTGTGTAGTAGCTTCTGCAGCTGCAGGAGTGTCAGAGATCTGGAGGAGAGGGCGTAAAAGTATGCTTGCAGCCCTTGCATTCTGATTCAACTATCATGGCAGAGATTTTAATAATAAAAAAAAACCCATAACTTATCTCTGGACAGAGTCAGTTTAGATACAACATAATCACTGTATCAATGGTGAAATGGAGGTAGCTGTGCGTGTTTTAAATTGATTCCTGTGTTTCTAAGAAGCCTCCTTGCATCCTAAACTCAGGGTGTACATGGGGCCTCAAATTGAAGTGACCCCCCCTTTCCCAGTGATAATCTCTACTTGTCATTCAAATGTCACATCCTGTACTGCCCACTGATGTTCTGGCACTTAGGCTCCACAGGGATTGATTTGAAAGCCAACAGAGACGCTTGCTGGAATGACAAGGTACTGTACCCAGCATTGTTCTATTATCTTACAGATGTTTGAGGTTCATTTTAAGGTAGCAAAAGCAATGCCATTGCAGAGAACATACAACAATCTTTTTACAAATGGACCAAAGTTATTTTATCACATATTAACTTAAAAAAAGCAGCCACGCTTTCTAAAACAAGGTGGTTTTTATGATTAGGTAAATGGGAAAGTTCATGGAAACTACAGAAATGTGTAACTGAGCAGGATTGTAGTCATTAAAGGAGAACTATGGTGTTAGGGCTTTTCCCCATAGTTCTCCTAAGGGTAACGGGAGGACACAAACTAGCGTCCTCCCGTCACCCTAAGCTCAGTATACCGCGAGCTACAGCTCGCGGTATACTGAGATGCCGCAGCTGAAGTGGATCCCGACAATTATGTCTGGATCCGCCCAGCTGCGTGAGTGACAGCTGGCTCTGCCTATCTAGAGGCAGAGCCAGCTATACCCGCCCCCTCCCCCGTCCGTTCCGCCAGTCAGCGCTGGAGGATTGGAGCCGGGAATCCAGTCCCTCCCCTGTCACGGCAGAGAGCCGTGACAGAATCGAGAAGTGAGCGAACGCCGGTATGTGTTCGCTCACTTCCCGATCTACTGAGCCGACCTGTGACAGTCTCATTGTCACAGGTCGGCTAGAACTATGAGGTGAGTGAAAAGCACTCACCTCATAGTTCTCCTTTAAAAGGAGAATTATGAGGCGAGTGCTTTTCACTCAGCCTCATAAGCTGAGCCGACCTGTGACAATGAAACTGTCACAGGTCGGCTCAGTAGATTGGGAAGTGAGCGAACACATAACGTCGCTTGCTCATTTCTCATCTATCCCTGCAAAGAGCCGTGACTGTCACTCACGACTCCCTGCAGGGATCCCCCCCTCCCCGATCCTCCAGTGTTGACTGGCGGAACCGACAGGGGAGGGTGCGGGCACAGTTGGCTCTGCCTCTGGATAGGCAGAGCCAGCTGTCAATCCCGCAGCTGGGTGGATCTCGACAGCAATGTCGGGATCCGTTCCAGCTGCGGCGTCTCAGTGTACCGCGAGCTGTATCTCGCAGTATACTGAGCTTTGGGTAACGGGAGGACGCTAGTTTGTGTTCTCCCGGGGCCCTTAGGAGAACTATGGGGAAAAGCCCTGACCCCATAGTTCTCCTTTAAATCTACGTAGTGGAATTACATTATACATGTCTTGTACAATTTTAACAAATCATCAGTTGCATATACAGACAATTACCTCTCCTAATCCATCTGAGCTCTAAGACGACACTGATCCTAAATAAGGCATTACAGCATTTTTCATTACGCATTCCAGAACACCAGTTTTATGGATGTTTTCTTTTGAGGCACTTAAGTTCTTCATTTGTGAAATGTCTGTGCCATAAAGTATATGTTTAAAATAAAACTGTACTACTAAAAAGCTTCCCTTGCTGTAAACATGAGAACAAGTACCTGGTGCCCATGAAGTGTGTATAGGAGTCTTCCTTCCAGAAGATCAAGCACCTTCACAGTGCCATCATTAGATGCAGAGAGTAAGTAGTTGCCAGATGGGTGAAACGACAAACAGTTGACGCCTGCACTGTGAACTGGAACATGAACAAAAACAGCTTAATATATAGAGTATTTTCCTCACTGGCAAGTTCCTTCCTGTATTCCCCTGCTCAAGCAACCAGGGCCATAAGTATGTCATGGTGACTGTACAGTGCAAGGCAATAGAGCCTGAGTGTCCTTAAAATCATGGCACTAACAGTCAGAGCCGCATTTTCACTTGGTTAATGGGGAATTAATATGAAGCCAGATTTTGTTGACTACACTAGCATTTTTTTTAAACGTCTTTTCATGTTTAGAATACATACCTAGACTGAGGGTGGGTTTTTAATACCGACTTTTTTGTTTTCCTGATAGAAAGCTTATTACACATGTGTAGTAGTACTGCATAGCGACTCTGCTTTACAAAGTTCACCCTGTTTTCACAACACATATTGGGTACAGGCGCTAGGCTCTAATGAAGCACAACGGCTCAAATTTGATATGGTCCAGAAACAGTAAGACAAAATTAAGATGAACAAAGCACCTGGACTGGATGGCTTACACCCAATCATCTTGAGCTCTATTATTTCAAAGCCATTTTATCTAATTTTTAGAGATACTTTAATGACTGGCTTGGTTCAAATACACTGGTGCAAGGCCAAAGTGGGACCTATATTTAAAACGGGATCAAAGTTCTTACCAAGTAATTACAGACCGGTAAGCTATAAGATACTTGAAAGTTTGATAAAGGATCACATACACATGTCTTTGGTATAAAATAATATTATAAGCAGGGATGCACCAATACTGTTTTTTTCAGTATCGAGTACCGATATTTATTTTTGCGATAATCGATGATACTAAAAGTCCCATTAAGAAAGCCGTGTAATGACTCGCCGCCCGGCTTTCTGGTTAGCCGCCTCCACACTCCCTCATCACCAGGTGACTAGGAAACATGAAGTCGGCTTTCTGGCCAATCAGGAAGATGGGTGGCGAGTAATTACATGCCTCCCAGCTTCCTGTGTGGCTGGGAAGCTGGCTGCATGCTTCCTGGTCACCAAATGATGAGGGAGCATGGAGCCGGCTTTCCGCCCAATCAGGAAGCCGGGCAGCATGTAATGTACCGCTGCCCGGCTTCCTGATATCGGAAGTTCGGGTATCAGACTAGGCATCAGGAGCATTTGGGCCAGTATGAGTATTCACCCAAATACTCGGTATCAGCACATATACCGATACTAGTATCGGTGCATCCCTAATTATAAGCAATAGTCAGCACAGATTCACAAAAAGACAGACGTTGTCAAACAAATCTACTTTTTTTTGGGGGGATTTTAAGTAATTTTCAAGCCAAAATGATTAAGAAGTGTGGAAAATGAAAAGAATTGGTCCAGCAGCAAATGATTTAGCATCACATAGCCTTGGGCAACCTTTAACAATGAAAAGTGTATGGTACAATTTTGGCCTACTGAGCATCATCAGTGCAAGGCTGCTAGTCCTGCTTAGCATTTTAAATACTGCAGAAGTGGTTTCAATATGAACTATGAGGGAGACAAGTGCTGCCCCCTGTATGTCAAAGTCTGAATTGCTGCGCATAGTACTAGGTGTAAAAATGTGTTTCTATACTTCAATTTTAAGCATTTTGGTATAATGAAAGTCATACATTGCACTCCATTGACACCAAAAAAGAAAAAAAAAAACTCCTCTTTATAACACTCTTGAAAATAAAAGGTTTTTAAGATCCATGAAATCTGCCTTGGTTTTGTAAACTATGTTATGATTAACTTTTTACCTTGATAATGCTGCAGCAATTTGTTCATTCGAATATCCCATACTTTCACTGTACTGTCGGCACCAGCAGAAGCTACACAAGTTCCGGATGGGTTAAAGTTTACATAATTGGAATGTCTGAAATCAAAGATATTTTGCTCCATAAACAAGGAAACTGAGCTGTAATTTCACCATATTGTAAAGAAGCAGCCTTCTAATCTGGAAATATATTGCCATGTTAATCCTTGGGAATTGTGTGGACTGTGAGATGATACATTACCTAATGCATATCAAATTCTTATAAAACCATAACCAAATTAAGTGGAATAAATCTGCAAGGGGTCTCGATATAGCTACTGAGGGTAACATTTACTTTTTATAAAAGCTTGCAAACAGCCATTGTTTTGTTGTTGTTAAAGACACATACTATATCTCTTCTATAATAAAAGATTCTTACTTGCCTGTTCGCACTGTACGCTGAGCTGTGTATGTGCAGCTCACTGTAAAATGTTGGCATCTGCCGAGGTGAACTCCAGCATATGCTTGGGAGTTATGTCATCTAGGTGCAGCCAATCAACATGGCTGAAGATCCCTTACATAAAAGAAAACTGGGGGAAGAGGTCAGCAGCCAGTGAGGGAGATTGTGGACATCACATCGCTGGAGGGGAGGTGGGCATAGTTTCGCTTTATGAACAATTACAAGATTTTATCTCAGAGCTGCAAAAATATGCATGGAAGTCAAAATGTTATTAGCTGGAGAATAGTTTAAATCCTAAAAGAGAGTTCACACTACTGTGATAATGAATGTTATGCATATTGGTGTGTTGTGGTGCCATTCAAAATTATGCAATCTCTGCAATGTGCTACCATGCATTGCGTTACAGAAAAAGGGTGTACAGCTATGCACAGCATGCTTGCACATTAGTAAAAACTTACCTTACAAGGGCGCCATCCTTCTGCGCTGTCAAATCAATCTAAGGTCTCTAACTCTGTCCACTGCCACATGTGCACAGGAGTTACATGGTCCCCAGCATCAATCCAATTCATAACATGATTAATTCCACAACACAGAATGAAATTACTCCTTGTATCGGCATGAATTATTCAGGTTATGATCAAAACGCAATGTGGACATTGTGGAAAGAACTGAGAAAAGACCCATTTTATGTATGGACAAGTGTACAGTCATGTAGATGAACATTACCCTTTGTAATCCATGAAAGTGTTAATGCAAACTCTGTTTGTGGTGTCCCAGATCCGCACAGTCTTGTCATCACTGCATGAGGTGATTAGTCTTCCATCTGGGGAAAATCTGTAAATGCAGAAAGATTAGACAACAGAGAGGTTGCTGAATAAAGAAAGTAGTTATATTGTTTCAGCATCTGAGAAAGAAGGGAGCCAGTGAAACAGCACAAACACAGAACAGTGGGTAGGGTCAGTGTTGGGTGATAGCAGGGCACAAAATCACTATAAAAGGACAATTACTATTAAAGAACACAGTGTCAAAAAGGGAGTCCTTGGTAGCAATGACACATAATACAAATATTTGTTGTTTTTATTCTCCAGAAAGAGTAAAGCAGATTATGTCTTCATTTTTGTTTTTGCTTGCTGTATTCATCATATTTCATCTGCTGCCAGACCCTGCTGTCCACTTTTAACCTCAGTTGGCCAGACCATTTTTGGAATTTTTCTATCATCTTTCACTTCAAACCCCCCTCGGAAAAATATTTTTTGAAAACACAGGACCAGTCAATGGCGACGGCTACTGCTACTTTTAAAGCACAAAAAAACTTCAACAAAATTAAATATGTGTACATTTTAAATGTTTTTGTTTTGTGCGTGAACTGATGTAAATTGCAAAACTGTACTCAATCTCCTTCTCTGCATCGCTGCACTTACTAATGAACACAGAAGTGCTTAGTATTGAGCTCCTCTGTGTTAATTGACAAAACTGGACGCGGTAGTAAACATACCAATTATGTTCATGTACCTAATTCAGTATGAAAGATCACGGAGGTGCTCAGTACTTTCATGTTCATTCAGAAAATGAAGGTGATCAGTAAATATCAGAAGCATGTTTACAGACCTCACTGCTCCACATCCTAAATGGAAAAGCCACTGATGAGCCTGGCTTGAAGCCAAGATGGTGGCATCAATGGCGGGGGGGGGGGGTGGGGGGGGGGTGGGGGGGG